TGTTGTTTTTTTTAAATAAAAAAGATAAATATAGATAAAGTAGAATTAAAATAGAATAGAAAGTGCTAGAGTTAGAGGGTCAAATAAAGGTGGAACATATGTGTTTTTAGTCGTTTCTTGAAGCTGGTTAAGGACTCAGCTGCTCGGATTGATTTGGGTTGGTCATTCCACCAGGAGGGAACAGTTAATGAAAAAGTCTGTGAAAGGGATTTAGTGCCTCTTTGAGATGGCACAATAATACGCCATTCACTTGCCCGATCGGTCTGCACACGCAAACAAAGCCAAAACCTCGATATTTTAGGCAATATAGAAATCCTGGCCAGGGAAAATGGCACGCATGGTCACCCTACTCTAACCACAGATTAAACATTAATAATTAGTCTAACATGCTAGATATTGTGTGTTAATGAATCATTTATATATATAAAACTACACATATTCCAAATCTGACCAAATTTCAAATGGTCTGTTGGCATTCACCTGTTGGGCTTGCCTTCTCATTGGTTGCAGGAGGAATATTAATGCCACCCTGATCATTCCCATTCTCTGAGATGGTGCTGCTGATGTTAGCCTTCAGCAGCACGTCTCTCTTTTGTGTGGACATGATATCTAATGCACTCCGTTTAGTTCTGTCAGATATTGTTGTCACACTGTTTGTGATACACACTGTGAGTGAGACTACAGACAGTGTGTATAAACTGTATGTTCTTCTGAACACTGAAAATAGACTATCTAAATCTGGCGTCTGTAACGTTTCGCTCAGACCCGCGGCTTTGCTCGACTCTTCGGCTCGGATTATCTCTGAAACTCAGATGCTGCGAGCGCGCGGCTCCTTATAAGCAGCCTGTTCGATGACGTAATCAAACGGCTAGTCTCGTTGTAGTTCCACAGTTGCCATAGAAACGGAATGTTTACTACAAGCGGCCGGACATTATCACCTGTGGTTGATTTCAAACACGTTACTGCTTTACTTGGTTTTCTAAGAAAATTCATTTTACGCTGAATAACGTTATACTTAAAACGTTAATTATGTTTATAGCCTACATGCGTTTGTTTACTAAGATCCCCAGGTAGAGAGTTCCACAGTCATTCTTGAGAAGTGGGACAAAACGGTGCAAAATTGAAAAAAATAAAACCTTGTACTCAGACAAATGAAACTACATTTATGTATCTTATATGTACTAAGCTACTGAGCTATGCTTTGATACAACCTCCCAACTTTTCTCGTTTTTAACTAAATGTGCATTTTTACCTTGCACTGTAATATAATTTCAACTTTATCTTTAACAGCATTCAAGATGTTTTTAACATTTCAAAACACATTCTCGTGTTAGCAGACAGATTACACTTTCACATGTGACCAACAATTCCACAACAAATATAAAATATCATAATGAAATATTATCAAAATATTCAACTGACGAAGCTGACACATCTGACGGTGGTGACGAAAACCTGGCGTATTATTGTGCCATCTCAAAGAGGCACTAAATCACTTTCACAGACTTTTTCATTAACTGTTCCCTCCTGGTGGAATGACCATCCATTTTATTGCATATGAATGATTGAACCCTTCTCTGTGGACACACTGTTTTAGACGTAGTGAGAGGACATTAAGAAACACAGATTTGGTATAATAATGAGAAAATTAAATTGAAGGTGATACAGTAAGTGTGTTAAATACATTAAATTATTAATCCCTCATGACATATACAATTTAAAAAATATATATTTTTAAATCTAATAGCAGTTACCCTTGCTGGACCTGTTTTGTCCCACGTCTAAAGAATGACCGAGGGGCAAAACAGCAAAAGCGCGGTCACCTTTAGTGACAAGTGAGATTTTGGAACCATTATAGGGCCCTATACGATCTCAAACTGCGATCAGGCTCATAAGGACTTAACAAATCACAAATATAGGCAGGAGCCTGACCCTTCAATGCTTTAAAAACAAGCAGTAAAATCTTAAAATCAATTCTAAAACTCACAGGCAACCAATGAAGAGCAGCAAGAATCGGTGTAATGCGGTCACTTTTCTTAGTACGTGCTAAAAGCCTAGCAGGCGTTTTGAATCAGCTGCAGTCTTTGGAGGTTTCTCCTGCTAATACCAGAATAAAGTGCAAATTCAAACTATATTCATTAAGATGTGAATGAATTTTTGTAAGTATATGGCTGTTCTTTTTAGGTCGTTTTGATTCCATTTACTTTCTGCATTGTTCTCTTAGGATCTCCCTTCTGCGTAGATCCCTGTTAATTTTCTCTATATATTTCCGTGTCCTCTCTCCCACTAATTTCTCTCCCTCAAATCTTTCTGTCTCAAAAACAAAGTATTACGTTTACTTATTTTCATAACAGTAGACGTTTTCTGCAAAAACATCAGAAAATATTTTAATGAATGTAATTATTGCATTTAAGAACACTGAAAATGATCAAAAAATACTAAAAAGGAGTAAATATTTAAAATGCTTCTTAAAGAAACCTTGTCCTCTTGTGTGACATCTTTGTCCTGTTGTGTGACAGTACAGGTGTCCCACCGGTGGACATTATCTGTCACACCAAAGGATGTTTCAGTCTTTTGTGTCAGTTAATGTCCTTGCTATTCCGAGCTAACCTGTCATTAGCAGTTAGCAAGACACATTTGCATAATTTTACATGATTATGTAGTTTAACGTACAGTTTTTAATTAAAAAATGTAGGGGTGTCGCACCAAAGGACCACAAAACATAACTCTTTTATAGTGGTTCCAAAAAAAGTTAAATATTTGAACAATTCTGAGACAAAAACGTATTATGTGCACATGTCATAGGGGTTAAACAGGGGGCTTCAGTAACACGACCTTGAATGGGGTCCTTCAACTAATTAAAGTTGTCCGTGGAATTGTCCGATTTAAAATCGGGATATGGGGTCACACCGGAGGACATGGTTTTCAGTGACAAAATGTATCAAGTTCCTACACTTTTAGAAATATATGGATGAAAAAAGATGATTGCCATTTACTAAAATAGACACTTCTAAAATTATGCCTGAGGTATTTATTAACATTTTTATGCTTTTCTTTTTAATTTGATAAAGATTGTAATTTATTGAACCATGCTTGAGACAGTCACACCGTTGGACAATTTTGAGATTTGACTCAAAAATTGTAAAAAATGTAATAACACGGCAGCTTTTATAACAACAGGTCCATGTAGGACAAAGAAAATTTTAACCATTTACTGTATTTTAAATAATGACAATATTAATTATATTTATTAATGATATAAATTTTTATCTTGTGTGACAGTGAAAATGCCATGTCATGTCAACCCATGTACACTTCGGCCAGCCACATATACCACAGTGCAACATGATTGTGATGCCACAGCAGATTGCACACAACTCTTAGTGTATGATATCTGAAAAGACCATTTAAATAAGTGTCTTAGAACAGAAATACTTAAACCAGACATGACAAGTGAGGGTTCATTTATTGGCAGTAATGAGCATAAAGTCAGTCATTATCCCTGTACTTTGCTTTCTGACTAGGCAAAATTTCACTTAATTATTTACAAAAACGCGTCTTCGCATGACAGAGTTTAATAACAGAATAAGCACATTGGATGAACTTGCAGTGCCAAAAATGTAAACATGAGATATGGCTTTAGGTGATGGTTTAACATTGTTATAGGACCGAACACACAATGTAAATGGAAAGAACTGTCTGTATAACTTCTAAAGTTTTATCGGGACCAAGTTATGCATTTATAATATACACACTGTACCAATACACAAGACTAATCAATTCTACCACAACCAAAGCATGATATAAAAACAGCTCAGAACATCAGTTTGGGTTGCTTATACTACTACCCTCACTGTCTGAGGCATCCATATGTGCAGTTTAAAATATTATTGTTGCGGTTATGATGGTTTGTTTATTATTTACAGAATCCTCATGAATCATCATTAAGCATAAATAGGAAAGTCACTGACTGCCTAACATTAAGCCCACATAGTGGAAAATATATAGCGTACCAGTGCACACTGACAATAACCATAGTTTATAAAAGTATCAGGTAATAGTAACAATAATTTTCATAATAATAAATACATTAGAAAACAAACGTATTAGAAATATTTTCACTTTCATACAACATATTTAATTCCTAAAGCCATAAACAATTGCAGTATTAGCAGCTAAACCCTTGTGGTCCTAGGATACATGAACATGATTCACACTAAAACTGTATGCATTATTATTAATATTTAATATTTAATAAGTATATTACCTCCACACACAAGTAAAAATCTCCTAAATTTGAGATACGTTCTATAATTACATAATTGCTCCCAAATGTGTTAGATGTTGTTTTATTTATTTTGGTTTCATAGCTGTCATGAATCTTGACCGAATATTCATTCATTTTGTTTATTGTTTTTTCTCCGATTCTCTTTTTTAATTCACTTAATGATTTAGGATCCACTGAAGAATCAGTGACAGATTTAGTGAGTCTCTACAACAATTCAAATGATCATGAATTCCTATATGTGTTAGTTAGTTATTTAAAGGAATCCACTCATAATAGTCATTTGTTCAGGGTTTGCTGTTGGTTTGTCGTTATGTGCATTCAGCAAGGACAACGCAATAGAAATTCTGAGGCATCCAGTCCTTTCGCTCTCCTGACATTCAATTCATACTGCAATCTGCAGCTCAAACAAAACATTTATTTTGCAGCGCTGTAGCTTGAGCAGCAGCAACATAGGAAAAACAGTCTGAATATTTTAAAATTGTGTTCTGCATCGGCAGAAAAAAAAATTTGCTTACAAACGGTTAACCAATAAGTACAAAAGTGAAAAATGAATATGTATTCTAATGAAACATCTGATGATCATACTATCATATACAGAACTTTAATACCTCATCATGAAGACAATTCAGTATTTTAAAATGCCCAGTTGATGTTTTAAAACCTACATTCAGATAAGATATAAAGGTCTTTATGCTGTGTACTGTTTTAAAAAAAAAAAAACATTGTTTAGTGGAACTAGACCTTGTACAATGACATTTTGATAACACTAGTGGCCTTGAAAAGTTATGACAAAAAATACATTTGCCGGCAACAACGGCGTGGTGTGATGTGTGCAACCCTTGCCTTGACACGCACATAACAAAACTCCACAAAGATCCATCTTCACAAACATTATCTGCCACCTTCTCTCCTGAATCAGAAACCTCATGGCAATAGCAGATCTCTTGGCATGAAAAATTACGCTCCTCCAGCTATTCATTGTGCAGGCTCCTCACGAAGGCGGCTTTCATAGAGGTTCAAGGCATGATGCACAAATTCATACTGTTCCTCAGTCTGGATCATACCGCCCCTGTGGAAAAAGACACCACATGATTACAGTCAAGCCTTGCCACAATCACAATAAAAGACGCAATTTTATGAAAATCTTATTACATTTTTTGCTTTTTTTGTTGTTGTTTTAGCTACTGAAAGAAAAAGGTGTTTTATGGGATTTTCTTCCAAAGCAGTGAATCTACAGATTTGATGTTAAATATCATTTTATGTAGCCTTTTAATCTTTCTGGAAATCACACATCATGATCGAGTTTACATGCACATCATTTACTTATTCAGGTCCAAAGTCTGCAACAAGCGGCAACCTCCCGCTCTCTCTCGTGAAACCAACACGGAAGTGACTTAAACTTTAATTCTTCAACTGGCAGCTAGAGGCTGGCTGCAAAAGGGAGTCCATCCCATAGACTCCCCATGTTATGGTTATTAAATGCCCAACTTTACAGCAGACAAAAAACATGTTTACAGCCTGGTTCAAAAAATTATTTTGGTCTATATAGCTAATTTTGCCCTTCATGGCAACTGTGAGGGGTGTGAATTTTTTTATAACTCATCCGTTTAAATTATATTAAGTTCTGCATAATTAAGGGCATGGCCACTTTAGTGACAGGTGGATTGCCGCTGCCAAGATGGCGACGGCCGGCTCCGCCTACTTTAGGCTTCAAAAACCCTCTTCGGAAACCTACGGGTGACGTCACGGACACTACGTCCATGTTTTTATATAGTCTATGGTCTGCAAAATCCTTTTTTCCAAAAGTAAATTAACATGTTGGAATATGTTGAAAATGTTGCTATTGGATTATTCCTGTTGGACTTTTGTTATACCATTCAAGATTTTTGTATGGCATTACATTTCTGCATTTAGTCGCAAATGTGGGTGAAATGCTTGCACTGTCGAGCCCTGTACAGTACATGCATGTATCTGTGCACTTGAGCCTTAGCCATGGTCTTGTGGGGGTACTTGCTTTTTAAATTTGACTTCTTAATCTCTGTGGCTTGGTTGCCTAGTGTGTGCTCATTTGTTCGGGGTGATTTCTGGGTGAACTATCCTAGTACCTTAAGTAGTTCGTTTCAAGCATTTGCATTTTCTTTATATCAAAAGAGTGAACCAGTTGTACCTGTCTGTTCTAAGTTGGCACACAATTCGCAGCACATCCACAACTCCCTCCAGCTCCAACTGACGACAGCCGATTGTTGTAGCAATGAAACACCCTGTCCGACCAATTCCAGCACTACAAAAGTTCAAGTTAAATGGTTTATAATTGCTTTTATGTATGTATTGTAACTGAATTATGACTGTTTCTTTGGTCACACTTTAGTTTGGGGACCAATTTGTACTATTAACTAATTACAGCGTTTGCCTCAATAAACTCCTAAATGAATAGTTAGTTAGGTAGTTGTTAAGTTTAGGTATTTGGTGGGATTCAGCGACCTAAAAGATGGTCATGCAGAATAAGGCATTAATATATGCTTTATAAGTTCTAATAAACAGCCAATATACTAGTAATATGAATACTAATAAGCAATTAGTTAATAGTGAGAATTGGTCCCTTAACTAAAGTATTACCAGTTTTTTTTTACTATATAAAACAGGCGATACTGTGTATACTGTGCAACAGTAGAAATGTGTTAACCGGTAGACACTTTGTAATGTTTTGCTGGTAAGCTTCTGTACCTGCAATGTACAATAACTGGCCCACCGGATGTAAAGCCCCTCCTGTCCTCCTCAACATCATTCACTAACTGCAGCAGGGTTCCTGCGCTCTCTGGGGTCTTATGGTCTGGCCATGAAGTATACCAGTAGTGCTGTACTTTACGACTCTGTCCTCCTTGCTGAGGGTACAAAAACATATGCTCCATTAGAGTATCTGACACTTATATTTCTCTTGGATTAACCGCTTCCACTTGTATTAGTCACTTTGGATAAAAGTGTCTGCCAAAATGAATAAATATACATGTATGCTAAAAGAAATAATTCACAAGACAAAGATTATCAATGAATAGCAACCTTCCTTTAGGCAAATAAATACTGCATCCTTGAGCAAAACTTGCCACATACTCAGATTACAGCATTGCTATTTTTCAGTCATTCTTCCATAGAGTGTTTATCTTATAATGCAAATACCTTTAGTATAAGGGTGCGGATTATATAGTGGTCACATTCCTTCACATTATTAACAAAGACCTCCACCCTTCCATAGATCCCCCTCTTCTCAGGCCAGTACAGAACACATTTCTGAAAAAGTCAAACAAATCTTTGCACAGTCTATTTAGTTACACTAAGAAAATGATAGAGATTTTTATAAAAAATTACTTCATTTTTCTCTTTCAGTTTAGTAATCATGACGATGACAGGGCAGTCCTCTTGCCAAACCATTTGCCAGAAGTCGTTCACAGTGTTGATGATTGGACCTTGAGTGGCAATGAAGGCTCTCTCATCTCTAAGATAGCCCTGAAGAGAAGAAGTGCTGAACTTAAACAGATTTCATGACATAATAGAGCATAACTGTAAGTATAAAGCACCAGCAGAGCCAATTTAGATCAGCAAGACTCTCTTGGATAATTCTGAGATCAAACTAAACTCTCCTGTTATAATGTTTCACTTTACAAGCTCTGATGGTAGTAGATTTAAGTTAAGTTATCTCTTGAAGGACATTAAGTGGCTCTTTGTCGTGGGCTATTGAAGAAATTGTGAGGCACAGAAAATTGAACTTACTCGAATGTAGTTGGCATTAATGTAACTGCTGAGCAGGTCGTTTGAGTTCTTAGTCTTCAGAATAACCCTGGAATGTGGATCTGAAATTAAATGAGCATTTTGTGAACATTTCTGTAGCTTTCTATTCAGTTCATCATTATACACAACACAATGAAATTTAAAAAGCAAACATTTTCAACACAGCAAAAAAAAATTAACGCTAAAACACAACAAAATCAGGCCATAATACAGTGACATCCTTCTGGACAAACTAAATAGTGCAAGAAAATATGCACCCTCTATTGTGGCTGATAAATGGCACCATGGTGCAATATAATATGTGTATTATCCCACATGGGAAGTTCAAGTGTTCAGAAAAACAAGATTGGTACAGTAAAAACTGTTCAGAATGTGATTTTTGTTACACCGTTAGACAATGTATGATGCCAGTAGAATCAGTGAACCCCAAAATTTAAACTGATTTAAACTAACTGGCTGATTCAAATGTAATAATTAATATATGTTCAAGTGTTCATAAAAAAAAGATTGGTAGAATAAAAAAAAAACAGGGTTTTGATGGATCTAACATACTCTTACAGAGACATTACTTAACAGCGCTTACTTCAACAGTGTTACTTAAGGAAGCGTCACGTTATTTTAAGGGGAGCTACTTAACAATGGTCCATATAGTTATGAGGGATCCCTGAGAAATATACTGCTGTTAATATACTGCAATGGAATAGTTCACTCACTTACCCCTAAACCCTTAGCTTTTTAAATTTTATTTTAACTGACACATTCTGTGATGACTAAGTGAACTTAAAATGAGTTTACCTGTGTTTAATGCCTATATTACAATATTCAAATTGAGAAGCTGAGAATTCTTGAGATTTTTTTGGTCAACAGTACACCATAATAAAAGTTTCCAATACAGGATTGTGTCACAGATCTAGAAAACAGGACTAAACTTAGCTGCACAGACAGTCTCTATTTCTGTCAAACGGACTGCGTTTTGGCAATATTGAGTGCACAATGTTCCTTTCACCATATAGAATACAGTTAATGTGTGAAAAATCGAACAATCTCAGCTGCACTGTTAGAACTTGACAGGTTTTTTTTTACAGTAAAATACTGTTCCCTGATATTACAGCAAAACACTGGCTGTTTTACAGTTATTTACCCCGGAAATTACAGCAAGGTTAACAGTGCGTAGCTTTAGCGTTATTTATAGTGTAGTAGAGGGTGGGGAGCTTCAGATTCTAGAGAGTATCTAAATGGACAGAAAATCATATGAAAATATTAACTTAAGTGCAGACTGATAAAAATTGTAGGAAAATAAGTGACAAATAATCAGTCTCTTTTACTGACCAGTTCGTACGATTTAAATAAAAATACACATACATACAAACATATACACCACCCCTTTCAATTGGGTCGAAATGTCATTCTGATCGAGTTTGGTTGGATTGACCAATGGGTTTACGTGAACGCTTTTTAGTCCAATTGAGCAATCAATCTGATTATTTACTAATTATTTGGTTGCATGTAAATGTAGCAGTATTGTAGTAGTCGGTACCAATACCAATAAGAATCTTACATAAACCAGTAAAAGTTTCATGGTTCTCTGTACCATATTAAAAACTCCTATCATAATCAAAACAGCTGTCTAAAAATAAATCTCTTAGTTACACTGTGTTTATACTTTGTAAGTATACAAAACTTGTATTGATTCATTGATACTGACTTAAACACCTCTGATTGGCCATTGTGTTCACATGCTCAACAGACATGTCTGTGATTATGAACATTCGACACACTTTAAGTGAACTTAAAATGAGTTTACCTGTGTTTAATGCCTATATTACAATATTCAAATTGAGAAGCTGAGAATTCTTGAGATTTTTTTGGTCAACAGTACACCATAATAAAAGTTTCCAATACAGGATTGTGTCACAGATCTAGAAAACAGGACTAAACTTAGCTGCACAGACAGTCTCTATTTCTGTCAAACGGACTGCGTTTTGGCAATATTGAGTGCACAATGTTCCTTTCACCATATAGAATACAGTTAATGTGTGAAAAATCGAACAATCTCAGCTGCACTGTTAGAACTTGACAGGTTTTTTTTTACAGTAAAATACTGTTCCCTGATATTACAGCAAAACACTGGCTGTTTTACAGTTATTTACCCCGGAAATTACAGCAAGGTTAACAGTGCGTAGCTTTAGCGTTATTTATAGTGTAGTAGAGGGTGGGGAGCTTCAGATTCTAGAGAGTATCTAAATGGACAGAAAATCATATGAAAATATTAACTTAAGTGCAGACTGATAAAAATTGTAGGAAAATAAGTGACAAATAATCAGTCTCTTTTACTGACCAGTTCGTACGATTTAAATAAAAATACACATACATACAAACATATACACCACCCCTTTCAATTGGGTCGAAATGTCATTCTGATCGAGTTTGGTTGGATTGACCAATGGGTTTACGTGAACGCTTTTTAGTCCAATTGAGCAATCAATCTGATTATTTACTAATTATTTGGTTGCATGTAAATGTAGCAGTATTGTAGTAGTCGGTACCAATACCAATAAGAATCTTACGTAAACCAGTACAAGTTTCATGGTTCTCTGTACCATATTAAAAACTCCTATCATAATCAAAACAGCTGTCTAAAAATAAATCTCTTAGTTACACTGTGTTTATACTTTGTAAGCATACAAAACTTGTATTGATTCATTGATACTGACTTAAACACCTCTGATTGGCCATTGTGTTCACATGCTCAACAGACATGTCTGTGATTATGAACATTCGACACACTTCAAAGAGCATGCACAAAAATGGGTATAGGATTTGAAAGCAGTGCCTATCAGCACCTATCGTTAAGCTTGTTGCTGAATATACTCGACAATGCTGCCTTTCTGTGACACTGACATGGTAATAAAAAAGATAAACACTTAGCTCAAAGTGAAATGACATACAATTAAATGCTATTCAGTGGAAATTCTGATACCAAGCACTATGGAGATTTTGAAGCACTGAAAGTCACATTCAATCACGCATTATTTGAGAACAGTTTGACTAATCAACTTGAATTTCATACATTTTTGTGGGGGTGCTCTGAAGATGAATTGGCTGAACAGAACCATTTTATGATGGAAAATGAAGTCATAGAGACGGGTTTCTCATTTCTGGCCCTCGAGATCCATTTTCCTGCAGAGTTTAGCTCTAACCCTGATCAAACAAGGTCTTCAGGATTATTAGAGAGTTACAGGCAGGCAAGTTTGATTATGGTTGGAGCTAAACTCTGCAGGAAAGTGGATTTCGAAGGCCAGAGTTGAAAACCCCTGTCATAGAGTGTATTTGGCTTGGTTATGCCATTAAAATCTAGTTGCTTGATAAGCCAAGATCTCTAAAGACTCGTATTCCATTCTGCACATTTGCGTGCAGTTATGCCACACAAGAATCAATGATGTTTGGCAAAAACCGAATTAAACCTCTCGCAATGTCGCCTTGACAAAAGCAGATTCTTCTAAAAGTCTCCTTTATAAAAGGAGTTTACATAAAAATAACAGCATGTGAATTTGCAACTGTGAGAGTGCTTAATAATGACATTACTATTTTTTAATTAACTATTCCTTTAAAGGGGTCCTATTATGCTTTTTACGCTTTTAACTTCCTTTAGTGTGAAATGTTGCTGTTTGAGCTTGGGAGTTATTCTCTATGTATCAGTCAGCACTGTTTCTGAACAACGTATATTGCATCTTCTAAAAATGGCATAATTCCTTTAAATCAAAAGTCTATCATGCACAAATGAAGTCTTACCGCTCCAGCAGGCCTGCAACAGGTTTCATCCTAAAGGGTGAATGTGTGGAGGACACAGTGGGTTTGAGCTCAGCCACAGGGTGGCTGGGTGGGCACTGCGGCTCTGACGTTGTCACGCTGGAATGAGTCTGATGGATGCTGATGTTACAAGACGGGGCGCTTGTGCTGCTGGTAGAATGGGTGGCACTGGGTTTGGACGTCTGGTTGGCCTGGACCATACTGTTCTTGAGGGTCAGAGGGGGCTGAGCACCATGAACAGGGATGGGTGCCAGCTGCACGTCCCGCCTGGGCGGGGATGGGTCTTTAAGCTGATGATCCAAGAATTCCTTCTCCTTTAGTCGGTAAAGCACCTGAGGAAAGGAAATATTACTTTCTAACAATCTATTACTCACAGCTAGTTTTAGGTTCAATCTTAGGTTAAGTCATCCTATAACTGAAAATAAATTATATTTTACATATAGAAAATGATCAAATAATTTTTATAAATCCCATGAATAATAAGAATTTGGGGGAAATATGCTTAATTCTCATAATTAATGTTAAAAATCTTAATGGTCTACAATAATTGGGTTAAAATAGAATCTAAGATTTGGGGGGGGGAAGAAAAGAAAATCTTGGTTTCCACATAAATATTAAGCAGCAAAAACTGTTTTAACATGGATAATAATTAGAACCTTTATTAATAATTCAGCACCAATAATAACTGGGAACCAAATCAGCATATTAGCATAATCTCTGAAGGATCATGTGACACTGAAGACCGTAATAATGGCTGCTGAAAATTCACTTTTACCATCACAGGAATAAATGACATTTTCAAATATATTAAAATAGAATATTTAGCTATTTTTTAAATTCTAATAATATTTCACAATATTTGTTTTTGGCAGGATCTACTGCATTTTTGATCAATTAAATGATTGATTATTTTAAATACATTAAAATATTTTATAACAAATATTTTATATATATATGCATACAAGAAACTTTGTATATGGGCCATTCTTCAGAATTGGTTAAAAACGTCTTTTTCTAAAAATGTATTGTATGTATGCAAATTGTATAATTTCTAAAGTACACATTTCTAGTAATTTGCGCAGTTAATTCTCATTTCAGAAAGTTTTGGAATATTTGTCCTCTTCCCAAGTTTGTCACTACCGAAACACAGTAATAAGAATTTAATTAGAAGGGTTACAGTATATTGACCTATTAAGATTTTGCTACCTATAAATATTTTGATATCTACATTGTATACATATATATTTTTTTGCTATTTTGTTAAATTTTTCAGAGGTAAATAAATCACAATTACATTTTAACAATATTTCAAGTGTAATTTATGAGATTTGTTGTATTTTGAATCAAAATTTTTTTTGTAAAAGGCAAAAAGTTTATCATACTGATTTCTAAGTTAAGGATTCATAAAACTATCATAACATCTTGATAATTCAGTATACTTTATTTTTGACAAAGCATCCCATGTGACTGCACATTTTCGGTAGTGACAGTAATGCTTTGGTAGTGATCGAGATCACATTACAGAATTTTTACTTGCATTCTCTAAAACACTATTTCAAGTGTAATTTATGAGATTTGTTGTATTTTGAATCCAATTTTTCTTTGTAAAAGGCAAAAAGTTTATCATACTGATTTCTAAGTTAAGGATTCATAAAACTATCATAACATCTTGATAATTCAGTATACTTTATTTTTGACAAAACATCCCATGTGACTGCACATTTTCGGTAGTGACAGTAATGCTTTGGTAGTGATCGAGATCACATTACAGAATTTTTACTAGCATTCTCTAAAACACTACTAAAACATACTAAAATACAAAAAAAATGCATAACTGTACTAAAAAAAATATTTTCCCCAAATATAAGTATTATGTGTTCCCTTTTGTCACAATGATGACATGCTTTGGTTGTGACTGTTTCGGTAATGACAATTTTATGGGATAACACCCAAAAAACCAAAGATGTCTACCAAAACTTCGCCAAATGTTTCGGTAGTGACAATTTTAGATACTTTTGATAGCATCTCAAAGATGCTAATCAGCACATGGTTAGCTAGCACAGTTCTGAACAGTTGTACACACATAAAAATTAAATGATATGGAAAAACTCCCAAAAAAGTGCAGAAAAAAGGTGTTCGGTAGTGACGTTCCTTAGAGTTACACAGATTTTTCAGACTTTTGAACACATTTACCTCAAAATGATGGGGCCTATCTACTCACCCTGTAGCTATGAGAGAGAGAGACACATAAATATTTCCTGATCATAAATGTAGGGGTGTAGTTAATTTCACTCTCAGCCAGTGAACTAAAATATACACTTTCGGTAGTGACATGAAAATGCGGGACACATTTTTTTTTACATAAAGTTTAATAATTTACAAAGAAAATATAAAATAACTATATATTTTTTGAACTTCACTTTTTAAAAGAATAAAAAAAAGATATTTTTAAAAACAATAATGGAAAATATATATATATATATATATATATATATATACATATATATTTATTATATAACAAGATGAATCTTCTATCAGATTCACGTCAGCCTGTTTATACAGTAGATAAAGTTTCCTGTAATGCAGAGTTGACTGTTAAGCTCTCACATTTCTTTGCACTACATGAACTACACAATACTTCCTCATCACTACATGCCTCTAAATGTTTCTCCACTAACCTCAACCGTCTTATTGCTGTTACTCACATTACTGCTGTTAACCATATTCAACTGCTTATCCGTCTTATTTTATGCCCATGCAAATCATTCATTCCATGTACAAGACATGGTCGCTTTATTAAGGTAAAACAAGGCAATGACTAAAATAATAATACAACAATAATAGTTACTCAGCTTTTACTATTTACAAGAAGTTGCAGAAAATTATGACAATTAACTGGGAGTTTTCTGACTTAAAATGACTAAACCTAGATTTACTAAACCCACTTATTTAATGAATTGATTGACAGTCTCTTAAACTGAACACTTTCAGTCAGTTTCAAATCTTGTTAAAAAATTAAATGAGCTATTATAATCTTCACTACACTCTGCATCACATAAAAACATGCAGTCCATGATTTAAACTAATACAACATTGCTTTGAGGGTCATAATTTAATCTACATAATTCAAAGTCAGCTTCTTTATCATAGGTATGTAGTCTACAAAGAAACCAGTCCATGTAAAATCAGGGTATCTAGTCTGAAAAGCCTTTTACATCTATTTTAACAACACAACTGGATCAGTAATTATATGAACATGCTTTTCTGGCCTGAAAATAAATGTGCTCACAACTGCATCCAGGAATTCCCAAGTTTCCCACAAGAGGTCTCTATCTCATCGCAATGAGCCGTGTTGTATGGTTTCAGTGCATCCTTAGGCCTGACTTCAAACGAATGAACTTCAACTTTGTAAAACAACAATTCATTTTCGTCATTGGCCCTTAATGTGGTTTTGGATTGTGTAATGACACTTGCGAATGCATGTGGTAGCTCTACAGGGGCAAAAAGCAGTTTTCACAAGTCTCTCGATTCATGATTGACACCTACTTACATCATAAAGTAGCACTTAGGTGTATATGACTTTCTTCTTTCAGACGAATGCATGCATCAGTCCAAAAGAAGTTAAATAAAAAGCACCCATCCATAAAAAGCCACTCAGCGGGGGCTCCGGCATCAGTAATTATATGAACATGCTTTTCTGGCCTGAAAATGAATGTGCTCACAACTGCATCCAGGAATTCCCAAGTTTCCCACAAGAGGTCTCTATCTCATCGCAATGAGCCGTGTTGTATGGTTTCAGTGCATCCTTAGGCCTGACTTCAAACGAATGAACTTCAACTTTGTAAAACAACAATTCATTTTCGTCATTGGCCCTTAATGTGGTTTTGGATTGTGTAATGACACTTGCGAATGCATGTGGTAGCTCTACAGGGGCAAAAAGCAGTTTTCACAAGTCTCACGATTCATGATTGACACCTACTTACATCATAAAGTAGCACTTAGGTGTATATGACTTTCTTCTTTCAGACGAATGCATGCATCAGTCCAAAAGAAGTTAAATAAAAAGCACCCATCCATAAAAAAAGTGCCTTGCACGGCTCCGGGGGGTGAACAAAGGCCTCCTGTAGCGAATCGATGCGTTTTTGTAAGAAAAATATCCATATTCAAAATGTAATAATCACTTTAATGTAGCTTGCGCCAACAGTTCCGGAAGCTGATGACGTATGAGTTCAGCGTTGCGCATGCGCCGATGAGTCTCTCCAACATTTGTTAACAGGATCAAAGGAAGCAAAGTTTCCTTACTTTAGCAAAGGAAATTAAAAACTGTCTTTGATCTTTCAACCGGTTTAATGGCACTCAGCAGGTGTTGCATGCTTCAGTCCAAAAGAAGTTAAATAAAAAGCGCCCATCCATAAAAAAAAGTTTCTCACACGACTCTGTGGGATGAACAAAGGCCTCCTGTAGCGAATCGATGCGTTTTTGTAAGAAAAATATCCATATTCAAAATGTAATAATCACTTTAATGTAGCTTGCACCAACAGTTTTAGAAAGAAGCAGTTCCGGGCTGATGACGTATGAGTTCAGCGTTGCGCATGCGCCAGTGAGTCTCTTCAACATTTGTTTACAGGATCAAAGGAAGCAAAGTTTTCTTTACTTTAGCAAAGGAAAACCAGTCTCCTCTTGGTGTATATATCGAAATCCTCCGACATTCTTCTTTACAAATCCTCGTTTTGTACTTCTAATAAGTGACCGTTGTTTTGTTTTGATCTTTCCCCTGCGCTTCCGCGTTCGTCACTTCTGAACATGCGCAAAGCCGACCTCATACGTCAACGGAGCTGCTTCCGTTTACAACTGTTGGCGCAAGCTACATTAAAGTGGTTATTACATTTTGAATATGGATATTTTTCTTACAAAAACGCATCAATTCGCTACAGGAGGCCTTTGTTCATCCCCCCTGGAGCCATGCGAGACATGTTTTTATGGATGGGCGCTTTTTATTTAAAGGGTTAGTTCACCCAAAAATTAAAATTAGCCCATAAATTACTCACCCTCAAGTCATCCTAGGTGTATATGACTTTCTTCTTTCAGACGAATCCAGTCGGAGTTATATTAAAAAATGTATTTGATCTTTCAAGCTGTTTAATGCCACTCAGCGGGTGTTGCATGCATCAGTCCAAAAAAAGTTAATAATATTATAATAATAACTTAATATCACTTAATAAATACTGCTATTTAATGCAGATTCCTTGTTAATGTACACTGAAATAGTTAGAAATGTCACGAAATGTCATATATTTGAATGATTTATTATAATTTTTGACCAATCAGTATCAAGTATTCTAGCGAGCCATGTAATAATGTTTTGTATTAATAACTTATTAGTGAGCATTACTATAAAGTGTTGCTTAACAATCAGAAACACAATACCACATGCCTTGTGCAACATAAAAACTTGCATTTTGCATTTTGTACATGCCATTATGTGTATACAATTAAATTATATAAAAAAAAAACAAATTTGATATTATTACTTTTCATTCTGCTTTCTTTTCTTTCTTTTATGTTCAATTTTATGTTTCTATTCAGTTTTACATATTTAGCAGTACTCTAATGCTGGTTAGGAAAAAAAGTAAATATTTTATCATATTTTATCTCATAAATATATAAATTAAAACATATAACTGCCTTGCTAAGCAGTGTCCCTTGCAAGAGGATCATTATATTTGGTGGTCCGTGGCATTAACCCATCCTGTCCTTGTATTTACAGAATCACAATGCTAATAATGCTTCAACAGTCCCTGTCATTGTGAGCGGCTCACAGCTTTACATGGTACTTATTCCTTAAGCTCTTCAGTCCATCAGCGCCAGAGAGTGAGGGTGCTCTATGATGGCATTACCGGACTTGAGACAGACTTAAACGTTAAGAGCAAACATCGACCAATCAGAGGGCAGAGTCAGGTGTGATCAAGATGGCAGCGTTGATCCCTTTAAAGTGCTGAACCACCAGAGGAAACCATGTGACTTCCTCTGCCACAATACATCCGTTTTGCAATGACTCTTTCTGTATCGTATCCTGTGTCTCTGCATCTGTTCGGGTCTTTCTCACAATTACTCACTGTATAATACAACCCAAGTGTCTTCAGTGTGTGCAGACTTGAATGATCTGAGGTTTAATCTTAATAACCGTTGGTGTTTACTTCACAAGGGTTTCTGCTGAGGCAAGCATTATACAGGAAATATTTGAACTGGTACATGCAAATATATATTCAATATTAAAATCTGTAGGACAGCAAAATCATAAATGAGATATCTTTAATATCTTATTCCTTTCTCTAAGACAGCACTGAGATGAAATGGAGAGTAAATGGACAGACAGTTATCGAACCGAATTTGAACCAACACTGAACTGACGTGAGTGAAATAATAGATTTTAGAGCTGATTTACAGCAGAATTTGTCTCATATTTGAAGACGTATGCATCATCAATTGTTCCGTTTTTATTCCTGTGAAGCTACTTTGAAAGGTTTGTATTGCATAAAGCCTATATAAATAAAGGTGACTTGACTTTACCAAAGTTTCCTACTTCTCAGATGTTTTGCCTGAGAATTACTCCAGAAATCTCACATCAGAAGTCAGAGAACTCAATACAAACAAAATATTTTTCAGCTAATTCTGTCAAGAGTTGTCATTTCACGTGTTAATATCTCACTGTATGACAACTATCTACTCGTTTGAATCTATTTGTATTTCTATGACGGAATTTTAGGAGAAACTTCGGAAGCAATTGATAAATCAACAAAACATATTTGAGAACTTGGTTTCCCGAGTTAATAAAAAGTATTTCATTTATGCAAACTCAACACCAGGCACCGATATGCTTTTAGAGGGTCGTATCTTCCCACATAGCATCATATACTATGAAAATCAAGCATATGGTAAAAGACTCTGAGAGATACGTACCATTAAACAGGTGAAGATGATGATGAATATTGTGAGGCAGATAACCAGCACATAGAAGCCGTCTTTACCCCAAATGCTGTTCTTCTCATGGTGGTCTTTGAAAACAGTCTTCTGCTCAAAGCCAGACAGAAAAGAACATCAACAGTCTGAAGACCCAACAATGTCAAGCCTCATCTGATCTGCAGTGCAGGCGTGAAGTTTGAGAGCCCTAACATACATTTATACTGTGCTTGAGTAAAAGTGATACAAGGATCAACAAGTGCGATCTTAAGGAAGACTTTGACAGAAGCTGACTCCACCCCTAAATCTGCCCACACACACACTGGATGACAAGTCCTGCAACACAAATGCACCTGTACTTGGGTAGTTGACAGCAGGGTCTTGTAAGGTGATGTGCTATATTCAGTTTAATCATATTTGAAACATTATCTTTCGTGTTATTTCACTATTATTAATCAAGAGACTACATGACATAATTGTATTTAAAAATTCACTTGTATCATACTGCAAAAAAAGCTAAAAAATTGTACAATACACTACACTACAAAACACTACAATAATTATATAATGAATAATTTATATGAGTAAGTTCCATTAAATAAAGACAATAATTCATTACAAAACATCATCGGCACCAAAGAGGATGTGCTATATGATTCATTATCATGTGTTAAAATGCATTATACCTTTTATTAAAAAAAACAGCTTCTCCAAATGAGAAGTAAACTTTGTGTCAGTGTTATTTTAGTATAATTGATATACTATTTTAGTTTTTGTTAATATTTCTAGAATATATTAGATTTCATTTTTATATTTTCTGCTTTCACTTAAACTTTCAGTTAAAAGTTTTCCAATTTTGTTGTGTTTTTGTTATTTTTATTAGTTTTTAAATGTCTATAGTTTTCATTACTTGTATTTATGAGTTTTAGTTCATTTAGTTTTAGTTTCTTTAGTACTTCAAGGTAAAGTAAACAAAAACGAGAAATTATGCCTTGGAAAATAACTCAAATATATTATTTCAGTTAATGTTTAATTATTTTATTCTTTTTTTATTTTAATTAACCATAACAATCCTGCTTTGCATGCATTTAAGTGCAGGTGAATAGAGCCCCCCCCCTCCCATTATACCTTTTATTAAAAAAAACAGCTTCTCCAAATGAGAAGTAAACTTTGTGTCAGTGTTATTTTAGTATAATTGATATACTATTTTAGTTTTTGTTAATATTTCTAGAATATATTAGATTTCATTTTTATATTTTCCCCCCCCCCCACATGATTGTAAAGCGCTTTGCACAGCAATACACAATAAAGCGCTATACAAATACATCATTCATTCATTCATTCATTCATTCAGGTGAATAGAAAATTAAATTAGAATGAAAATGATGACAGAATTGTCATTTTTAGGTGAACTATTCCTGTATTGTATTATTATTATCCCTTGTATTTTTGCATTTAAAAAAGATTTCATATTTTGTTACGCTTTTTTACAGGATGTAAATGTATTTCAAAAACATTAGACTCAGATAACACTGCTTACGGCGGCCAAAGGAAGCAAAAATATGGTGCAAGCTGACAATGGCTCTCACTACGGCCCACTGATGCAAATCGGATAGGTTTGCCAGAAAAGGTCAATATATGTAGGAGGCAGGACTGTTACTCTGCTACCATTTTTAGTCACCTACTGCTATGCAACGCTACAACTCTACGTTCTGCAGTTTAACAGCAGACTGTAACTTCATCCTAGAGTTCTTGAGACACAAACCTCAGTGGATGCCTCAGTGGTGGCAAGCGGCCCAGAGCTGTGGTGAAGGGTGTTGATGTTGAGCAATCGGATCATTTCCTCATGAGCCACAGGTTCTGATGCTCCAACAGACGACACATACAGCTCGATGTCATCATTCTCCTCCTAAAACCATGAAGAATGGTGCATGAAGAATATCCTTTACAATTAAACAAATAAACAAGTCAGCTTAACTGTTGTATGAACTTTCATTTCTGGGTTTTCTTGAAAAATAACAAAAATATATTTTACGCAATCATTTATTTTGGTTCTAATGTTTCAAATATCTTGTAACATTTAATTATATGTATTTACATTTACATTTAATCGTTTAGCAGATGCTTTTATCCAAAGCGACAGGAGCAATCTAACCAACAAAGAGCAACAATATATAAGTGTCCAACAGCCACACCCGCAGGTAAAGTTACAGTGGAGGCTTGCCTCCCTTCGGTCCATTGACTTTCTACAGAGACCCCTTAGCGTGCCATGCCTTTTCTGGAGGCTCATTGAGAATGAATGGGGGAAAGTCACGTGAGAGGAGGCAATGCCTCCATCGCGCTATAATTGGATATGATCGGTTATGATTAGATGTGATTGGTTCGTGTGATAAATCCCACCTCTTGTTTTCATGCGAGCTCTCGGTCTGAATGAAGAAAATGATACATAGTAAATGAAGAAAATGAAAAAATAAATGAAGAAACGTACATAGAATAGAAACAGAGAGAGTATTAGAGGGTCAAGTTATTATTTTTTATAATAAATAAAAACAAGTAAATGGAGAACGCTAGTGTTAGAGGGTCACATTTTATTTTGTAATAAATAAAAGGAAAAGTAGATAGAATAGAATAATATAAAATAAAATAGAGTGATAGTGTTACAGGGTCAAGTGAAAAAAATGGTTTTTAACATATTTGCAAATTTATTAAAAATAAAAAACTAAAATGATTCCATTGCATAAGTATTCATACCCTTATCTGGGACAGTTGAAATTTAGCTCAGGAGCATTCATTTTGCTTGTAGATGTTATTACACTTCAAGTGAAGTTAACCTGTGGCAAATTCAATTGAATGGGTATGATTTGGAAAGGCACACAAGTCTTAATAAAAGGTCTAACAGCTGATAATGCATATAAGAGAAAAAAACAAGCTCTGAGGTCAAAAGAACTGCCTGTAGAGCTCAGAAACCGGTTTGCATCAAGCCACACATCTGTGAAAGAGTTCAGAATACATTTCTGCTTGATTGAAGGGTCACAGAAGCATGTAGTCTCTGTTACCCTTAATGGGAGAAGTTTGAAACAACCAGGACTCCTGGCCAAACTGAGCAATTGATGGAGAAGGGCTTTGGTTAGCATGGTGACCAAGAACCTGATGGTCACTCTAGTTGAGCTCCATGATCATATGTGGAGATAGGAGAAACCTACAGAAGGACAAACATTGCTGCAACACTCCACCAATCCAGTCTTTATAGTGGTGTGGCCAAACTCAATCCTCTCTTCAGTTAAGACACGTGAAAACACACTTGGAATTTACAAAAAAGCACCTAAAGGACCCTCAGACTCAGAGAAACAAGATTCTCTGGTCTGATGAACCTCAATTCTAAGCATCATGTTTGAAGGAAACCAGCTCTGCTCATCACCATCCCAAAAGTAATGTGTGCTGGTAGCAGCCTCATGCTGTGGGGCTGTTTTTCAGCAGCAGGGACTCAGGGACTTGTTAGAGAAGAAACGCTCAGTGCAGCAAAATATAGAGATAGCCTTAATGAAAACCCAGTCCAGAGCATTCAGAACCTCAGACTGGGCAGAAGGTTCACCTTCCAACAGGACAATGACCATAACCACACAGCAAGAGTGGCTTATAGACAACTGTGTGAATGTCCTTGAGTGGCCCAGCCACAGCCTGGGCTTGAACCCAATCAAATATTTCTGGAGAAACCTGAAAATGTGCATCTGCCCCCATCCAACCTGACAGAGCTTGAGAGGTGAACAGGTGAGGTGAAGAATGGCAGATAATTGCAAAATGCTGATGAGCAAAGCTTGTCGCATCAAACAAAAAAAAAGACTTGAGGCTGTTAAGGTGCTTCAGCTAAATATTTAGTTAATACTTATGCAATGTACTTATTTCAGTTTTTATTTTTAATTCACGAAGTTGTGACAATTCAGTTTTTGCTTTGTCAGTATGGTGTATGGAGTGTAGATTGATGTGGAAAAAAGTAATTTAAAGAAGTGTTTCCAGGACTTTTGGTTTGTATTTACTTCCTTGTTCCTGTGTTTAGTCCCTGCTTCCTTTGTTCCCATTTCTAGTTTGTTTCTGTGTTTACCTATAAGTAAATTAATACATCCCACATTCCTCATTGTTTCTAGTATATCTGGCCCTCATTCTGTTCAGGGGCCCGTTCTTCGTACGTTGCTAACTCAGTTAACTGGATATGATTGTTGACGATTTGGCATGATCTTGGATTATTTGGTTCTTTGAAGCTCATCCCGGAGTTGCTGTCATTGCTCAAATATAAAATTAAATGAATTGCTAATTGCTACATTGAAATAGAAATGTAAAGCCTGTACAACAATTAGAAATCGTGAATATATATAATTGGGAATCATGTAGAAAATTTAAATGAAATAAAAACACATTTCATTTATCTATTATAACATTTATGTAGTTTTGTTTGCTTGGCTGTTTCCTTATAAAAGTCCAGAAGTTTTTCGTCAGGTGTCTTTTTTAATTATATGATGACATTACGTTGCTATCTTGCCGCCAGCCAATCGCTGCATTGCTGATCGTGGTTTCGAGTATCGATACATAACCCCTTTTAAACCAACCCATGAATGCGCAATTATCTCAGATAACTCAATCCAGCCATACTAATCATCAACAACAGCTGCGTTCGAAGAACCGAATTAGCCAGATCCTGATTAGCACGATGATATAATCTTGGATGTGACATTTCATCTCGGATGTAATAAGCGACATACGATGAACGGCCCCAGTTCTTTGTCTTGTCTTGTGTGTGTTTATACTGTCATGTTTCTTCTGTGGTTTTCTTTGTTATTTCTCCATGTTAGATTATGCAAATGTAATGTTAAGCATAAAAAAGGCTGTAAAACGCTGTTTGTAACCTATTTTACATTTCATGTCAAATGTAAAACAGGAGCTATATTGTAATGTGTGACTTTAATTTATTAATCATAACTGATTTATTTCAAGTATCTCTATGACTGGTGGTTGAAAACGAACAGGTTTTTTTCTTTAGAATAAATTTGCACTGATGAATCGTGTACAATAAAACCAGGAAAAGTAAACTAGAATGATTGGCGAACTCAGCAATGAGGAGAGTGCAGGATCCCAAATGGAGATTTTTTAATGTTATAATATAAACAAAAGTACACAAAACCCGGAATTTCATGTTGACTTTAATTACCACCCACACTGAAGTAGCTCTCAAACCTGCATTCATTTTGACGGGCAAATTGCAATGACCTTTTGTGTACTGAGCACATTAAGCTTCACCGGCATTAAAGCAAATAAATATATAAATGTGTGACTCTCACAGGCAGTGCTGTGCGCTGAAGTGGTGATATATGCGAGCCATGATTGATTTTTTTGGACGCCTTGTGGGAGTGGGGAAGCTTCCAGAGGTCTCACATCAGGTGCATTAGTGTAATTGGCTTTGAGGGCGAGAGAGTTCATCTTCCTCCACCATAAAACACATTCTCCTCACTGTGATACTGACAAATACACATCCACATCATTCAATCTGGTATGTACAGACAGTTGCCAAATGTTCATCGCCAGACTCAATGTCAAACTTAAGGCAAGTATAGCTATTACTGTTATTAATATCTCTAAATTACCATACAAAACACCTCAAATCATTCAAAACACCAGACTTATCTCTGGTGACGAATGCAGGACACCCACAGCTCAAAATCCAATCCACAAACAACGGATCAATTTATTTTATTGAAATGATTGCATTATTTCATTTCCAATAATCTGTCACACTTGGACACATCACAATACAGAAGAAAACATCTGTCGCTACTTCAGTTTCATTGTGACTTAAGTGATGAACAATGGTGAACAATAAAACAGGTAAAAAACAAAACAAAACAAAGACTTACATTGAAATAGCGACCAGAGCTATAGAGACCAGCAAATCACAGAGACTCAATGGTGGACTCTTTTCATGGCAAGACAGCTATAATCAAACTAAAAACCCAGAGATGCATTTCCCAAAAGTATTGTTGCAACTATGCAAGTTCCGTCATTAGCAACAATCGAAAACAACAGTCTTTGCATTGCAAAGTCGACTTGTGATTAAAAGCATAGTTTCTTGTTAGTATTACATGTGGACTTGAATAGATCATGCTCTTGAGCAAAAGCAAGCTAACATCCAGTACAATCTATATCTTTCATTCCATAATCCATACATTTTACGTCTATTTGTTTGTCGAAAGAATAAAAGTGTAATTTATGAAGATTGTGCATGTGTGAATGTGCTCTGGGGAACCCCAGAGAGAGCCAAAGCAAATGGAGAACAAATATAGCGAAGTAGCCATCAGACACATAAAAATCCGACATTAATTCGATTTCAAATCGTTATTACTCCACCTGCATAATGACATTCTATAATGTTGAACCAGTGTTGTTCGAACAACGGATGTGCGACAAAGTAACAGTTGTGAGTAGTACATTTCTCTAATTTTAATTTTAATATTAATTGTATCCCTAGAAATTAGGGCTGCACAATAAATCGCATGCAATATTTAATGCGCATCTTGTCAGTAAAGCCGGTTCTGTAATCAGCAGGAAATCTCCATCACCTGCGGGCTTTCACATAAGTCAGGATTGTACTTAGGGCTGCACGATAAATCGCACGCGATATTTAACGCGCATCTTGACAGAAAGCCGGTTCTGTAATCAGTGGTAAATCTCCATCCCCTGCGGGCTTTCACATTGAGCAGAATTTACTACACAGAGCCGTTGTTCACTGACGAGCTGCGCAAAAAAATTGCGTGAAAATGAACGTGGTTTTGCGCAGCTTGTCAGTGAACAACGGCTCTGTGTAGAAAATGCTGCTCAATGTGAAAGCCCGCAGGTGATGGAGATTTTCCTACTAGAAATTGAAAAAAAAATGCATTAGTGTTACTGGCCTTCATTCATAGTAGGCCACTTCGTAGTGTTTTATTAAACAAATATCTAAAAAATACATCTTTTTAAAATGTATAGATATAGCCTATGTATGAACGTGTGTATACGTCTTTAAACATTTGTGCTGGCAAAAATGTCAGTCATCTCATCCAACCCTTTTTCTTTATCAATTAACTCTACACCCCAGGCTTCTACATTTTTTCACTACAATCTCAAAGCAACAAAAAAAAATCACAAGTTGTGTAGGTGCTCACCATTGTGACCGTATCGTGGGCAGATACAGGCTTGTTCTCCACATGGTCAATATTTTGCAGGAAGTTGACATCTGATTGCCTCTGTGGAGTTCTCTGGAAATGGGATTCTAGAAACACTGCAGGCATCAGCTTAGCCACCCGTCCACGAGACTGCGCCTGGAGCAATTCCTTATTAAATTCTAAAGCCTTTTCCTGACTGAGAACACCCATGTGCTGGTACACGGGGCCAGTCATTCCATTAGCCATGCGCCAATGCGGAATCTGATAAACTTCATCGTCCACAGAGATGCCTCCTGAAATATAGACAAACAGAGTTTCACATCATAGTTGTTACTATATAATGACTGGAATAGTCTACTGACCGATTACAATGCAGGATGTCAATTGTCCATTTTATATAATATTGTTTTTGCATATTGAACAAAACTTCAGTTGGCTTGTTTTGTACAGTAAATATGTACATGGAAAAAGTAAATAGCAGAATAACTCAACTTCAATAAGTCAAAATTCGGTCACCCTGAAATATGACTGCCCCCACTGGATCCCCCAACATTATTGGGCTAGAGTACTGTCAATCTGACGATGCCTGTATGCCACTAGATCAGAGTGCTGTCAATTGCTGCCTGATTGTTGCATGCAAAGTTTGCATTTGGAGCGCTCAACAACGCCATTAGATCAGTGCTTTGGCAAGGTAACACTTTTTGTTGCCATGCAATAAAGCTAAGTTTAAAGGCCAGTTTAAAATATTGGTACAGTAAATAAAGTGCACAAAATCAGTATTTTGTTTAGGCAGTATTTGTGGCACTTTTGTGGCAGATTTGTCCAAGTATGTGTGGCAGATTTGTCCAAAAGGTGTGCTTTTTTTGCCCCAATGCATTGTTAAAGGATCAGCGTGTCATGTAATATTCCCATATAATTATGTGCACTGTCTTAGCCACTAGGGATTGTTACATAGGGCTATACAGGCATCTAGTGGCAACACAATGATATTACAGATACTACATTGTGCAAAATCTTTATCTTGACAGTCAATTTACAAATAATGCAATCAGATTTGTGGAACTCAATGCACTGAATCTCCACAAATTAGTGTCGTTACTATGACAACCAATTTGAATGTGACAAGCAACTGGTGTCTGAAAATAATTATATATATATATATATAATTGGGGGCGGGGGCAATAGGGATTTCGCCTAGGGCATCAAATTGGCTAGAAACGGCCCTGCATCTGAGTGTAAGAATGTAAAACACTGAGTGATCATGCATAAAGGGAATGGATATTGATGTCCAATACAAACATAAAACTTGAACCACTTGGAGCCAAGAAAATGAGAAACCTGAGAACCCAAAGGAAATAAATGACCTTCACTCTTAAAAATAAAGGTTCTTACAGCGCTGTGAAAGACTCATTGCCAGTTATCGCAAACACTTGATTGCAGTTGTTGCTGCAAAGCGTGGCACAACCAGTTATTAGATTTAGGGGGCAATTACTTTTTCACGTAGGGCCAGGCAGGTTTGGTCAGCTTTTTTCCCTTAATAAAATAAATACTCATTTAAAAACTGCATTTTTGTATTTATTTGCATTATCTTTGTGTAATATTAAAATCTGTTTGATGATCTGAATCTTTTAAGTGTGACAAATACGCAAAAAAAAAATTTAAAAAAAAAAAAACAGGAAGGGGGCCAACACTTTTTCACACCACTGTAGATAGATGTAAAACTATCTATCCATCTATCTATCTATGATGTAAATGGATGAACATTTTGATAAAAGATAGCAAAGTCAACACACTGTAAAAAAAAAAAAAAAAAATTTCCCCATTGATGATTAGAGTATGTTATACAAATTTTCGCTTCACATTTTCACTTTTAATTCATTGTGTTCCTTGCCGTTTCTTTGCAACTGTGACATTTACTAGCAATTTCTGTTTGAAAATAGTTTCTACAACAATTTTTAGTGCACTAAATAAATAATTACTGCAAATGATCAAATATGGTTATGTCGATTAAGTGCTTGATAAGTGAAGATGTATTTAAGCCTGTTATAAGAAGCATAACCGTAATTATGAAGTGTAACCACATGCAATATCAACTACAGTAATGCTGTATGAGCATACACAGCCACAAGACAACCTAATAATGAACATGCTGTAAAAATGAATATGTCTCTGTAGCCTACCTGATCTAAGCGTCAGAAAGGACTGTATATGGGTGCATTATTATTCATTATAGCGCTGGCCAGAAATGTTGAATAAACAAACATTTCCCTGTCGAATAAAGGTCCGTATATTTCACTTTGTTCTATGATCTAAATTGTTTATTTTAATTATATTAAACTGATTTTATTTACCTCTTCAAATGATCCCATTGCCCATATTATTAAACTCACATTATGTATTTGCCAAATAAACGCCCAGTTCACTCATTACAATAGCAAATAAGGACATTATTACAGCAGGAATTAAAACAAACACACGATATCGATATTGTTTTTAGCCTCACCTGAGACGTGCAATCCAATCAATGAAGAAATAACGACTAATGCCGTGTTCACGAACATGATTCTTCTTCTTGTATTACAAATACATTATGGCTTTATGAAGGTCAGTCGAGGCTACAGTGTCTCTATGGTTAAGACACTGAAACGATGACTGTTTAACACAATAATTCTGCATCTGCTGAGGATCACACACCCCGATGTGTCTCTCTAGCGCTGAGAGGATCCATTTGGAGAATCGATTCGCTTGGTTGATTCATTACAAAGAACCAATTCAGACGCCGTCGCCGATCCATATCTGTCCAGTCCATACTAGAACATAAATAGTGCATCTTTCCACATAGTACAGAGCTCGCGGAGCAAGGCAGCTTCCACTGTTAATCTCAGCTGTGTTCTATATTTAGTAAATATAGTATTTAGTAAATACTAGTTGGTTTCGTATTCAAACATCCACGCACCAAACAAACGAAGTGTATTTAGTCCAGTGATTCACACTGGACGCTCTGCGAACCTGTTCGAATGAATCTTAAGAACCGGATCGGATAAACGATTTGTTCATGAATCACTAGTTCTCAGAAGAGACAATGAGCAGGTGGAGAAAAAACATAAGCTGAAAAACGTATGAGCTTGATTTGCCAATATGAGCACACTTATAGGTAGCATGGAGACATTCAAAATATTATAGAATGACCAAATTAAATTCCCTCAATGAATGAATAGATCTGCACATCTTAAATCATGTATTATTTGGCTATTGGTTGTAGTACTTTTACTTTACTTTTACTCATTTAGCAGACGCTTTTATCCAAAGCGACTTACAAATAAGAAAAATTAATTAAAACTAAAAGCTAATACTCTCTAAATACTATATATATATATATATATACACACACACACACATTTAAGAAAATAAAAGAAATTAAATAAAAATGACAAATGCATACAACAACATTTCAAAACTACACATTTAAATGAAAACAAAAAAATAAAGCTAAAAACAATTCAAAATATTAAAAGAACAAAAGGTATGAGTATAATAATGATTCTAACATAACACTAAGCCAAACACCAAAAAACAACTACATATGTGTATTGTAACGGGGCTGACGAGACGCGAGACGTGTGGATCCATCTGCAAGCTTTTATTGGGTCATAACAGGCAGGGTCGAACAACGGCAAACAGGTATATAGAATCACAGGGGCAAGACGAGAGGGAGAAATCCAGGAAAAGAGGCAAAGATCAGAAAACAGACAAGGCGAGGCAAGGAAAACACAGAGACTCGGAAAGGGGTACAGGCTAAACAATACTTAGCAGAGAATGGTGGTTTGAGTGGGTGTTATATAGTGAGTGAGGTGATAAGAAACAGCTGTGTGCAATGAGTGCAATCAGTGCAGTGTGCAAATCGTGCAATGAATGATGGGATATGTAGTCCGGGGTGCTATGCAACAATTTGTGTTGTGCGAGGGTCAATGTAAAGGAAAGGGTGACCTCTGGTGGAGAATAAACAGAAGTCCATGGACCGAATTCGTAACATATATGTACAGCCACACACATACACATACATGTACATATATATACATACATTCAATATATATATATTATTTCATTTCCATTTTGTATGTTGAAGTACTGAAATAACTCAAATTAAATCAAACTAAAACTTAATAAAAAACCTATATAGACATAATAAAAACCGAATAAAATGACAACATTACTACAACTGTAACTAAAATAGAAAAGTAATACAAATCAAACTACATTAGTTTATCAGTAATCATATAAAATAGCACTGAGGCAAACACACATGCTAAAATAACAACAACTTACTGACACATAGTAAGAAATGCTTATAAAAAAACTGAAACAGAAGTGAAACAAGTAGTAGGAAAGAGGAGAAATAAAACGCGATACTTGTGTAGTAGTGGTATATACTATTTCCTGCACTAGATTATAAACAATTCCATACTTTAATTAAAAAACATTTTCAGCAATAGTTCAGGTCATCCAGGCTGTTTGAACTTAATAGGCCTTACTTAGTATGCAATAACTAATTGGATTTGATCATCGCAAGCACCAAGAAGAGCAGGCAACTTGTAGGCAAGGTTTTGTCAAGCCATTGTTCAGAATCTGATGACAAGCTGATAATATTGTTTATTGCCTATGTCATCCCATAGCTCTGTCTCATAATGCTGCAATATAATGGCTACATAATTTCCATTCTTAATCACAGAGGATGAGTTTATTCATTGTGGAGGGTGGATGCTGTTTGCTTAGTTATGCCAAAAGAATTGATTCTATCAGATCTCTAATCCCAAGGCACCACAAAACGTAAACGCTTTGTAGATATTAAAGCGGTCTTGCTAGCAGCCACACACATACACATACATGTACATATATATACATACATTCAATATATATATATTATTTCATTTCCATTTTGTATGTTGAAGTACTGAAATAACTCAAATTAAATCAAACTAAAACTTAATAAAAAACCTATATAGACAATAAAAACCGAATAAAATGACAACATTACTACAACTGTAACTAAAATAGAAAAGTAATACAAATCAAACTACATTAGTTTATCAGTAATCATATAAAATAGCACTGAGGCAAACACACATGCTAAAATAACAACAACTTACTGACACATAGTAAGAAATGCTTATAAAAAAACTGAAACAGAAGTGAAACAAGTAGTAGGAAAGAGGAGAAATAAAACGCGATACTTGTGTAGTAGTGGTATATACTATTTCCTGCACTAGATTATAAACAATTCCATACTTTAATTAAAAAACATTTTCAGCAATAGTTCAGGTCATCCAGGCTGTTTGAACTTAATAGGCCTTACTTAGTATGCAATAACTAATTGGATTTGATCATCGCAAGCACCAAGAAGAGCAGGCAACTTGTAGGCAAGGTTTTGTCAAGCCATTGTTCAGAATCTGATGACAAGCTGATAATATTGTTTATTGCCTATGTCATCCCATAGCTCTGTCTCATAATGCTGCAATATAATGGCAACATAATTTCCATTCTTAATCACAGAGGATGAGTTTATTCATTGTGGAGGGTGGATGCTGTTTGCTTAGTTGTGCCAAAAGAATTGATTCTATCAGATCTCTAATCCCAAGGCACCAAAAAACGTAAAAGCTTTGTAGATATTAAAGCGGTCTTGCTAGAAATGTGGCCCTTTGATTGTCAGCATCACTTGGATCTTTGTGTGAAACCTTTTAGAGATCAGATTTGATCAAGGATAGACCAATAGAGCGCTCCTCCTCTATAAAAAAATGTGTTGGGCTTTAATAAAGCATGAATCAGACAAATTAAATTAGATACTAGATGGATAGATGGATGGATGGATGGATGGATGGATGGATGGATGGATGGATGTGGATAGATGGATGGATGGGGGATGGATAGATGGATGGATGGATAATAGATCGATAGGTGGATGGATGATAGAAGGATAGATGGATGGATGGATGGATGAATAGACGGATAATAGATAGATAGGTGGATTGATGGATGGATAGAAAATAGATGGATGATTGGATAATGGATGGATGGTGGATGGATAGATGGATAGATGGATGGATGGACGGATAATAGATCGATAGATAATGGATGGATGGATGGATGGATGATAGGTAGATAGATAGATAATGGATGGATGGATAATAGATCGATAGGTGGATGGATGATAGAAGGATGGATGGATGGATGGATGGATGGATGGATAGATAGATAGATAGCTAGATAGATAGATGGATAGATAGATGGATAGCTAGATGGATGGATAGATAGACAGATAGCTAGATAGATAGCTGGATGGATGGATAGATAGATAGCTAGCTGGCTAGCTAGATAGATAGATAGCTAGATAGATAGATAGCTAGATAGATAGCTAGATAGATAGCTGGATGGATGGATAGATAGATAGCTAGCTAGCTAGCTAGCTAGCTAGATAGCTAGATAGCTAGATAGATAGATAGATAGATATACATTTTATTTTTAGTTATTTTAGTACAAACTAAATAAATTAAAAATGCTGCCTTGGCAACTACACTCTAAAGAATGCTGGGTTAAATACAACCCAGTGCTGGGTAAAATAGGGACAAACCCAGCAATTGGGTTGTTTTGACCCAGCGGTTGAGTTAC